GGAGGTCCCAGAGGGAGCTCATGCTACGTTGGGTCCACTTAGACAAGGAGTCTTTCTTTGCCTCAGGTCACAGTGTCACCTGGGTCACCATCAAAGATGAGGTTCCAGAACCCTGGCATCACCTGTTCCCCCCATGAACAAATGTTAGGATGCAGGATGGGGAGTAATTTTGGTTTAAATTGGTAAAAAAGCTGGAATATAGGCAGGAGGGATTGCACTGTCTGTATCCACACCCACACCCACACAGTAGTAATTGCAATTGAACAGGCAGAGAAACTGAGGCTGGATGGAAGTCACTGAGACCCCACCATATCTTTAGTCAGGGCCTCACTGGGTATAGTGCAAGGAGTCAGGAGATGTGGGTTCTAGTCCTGACACACTGTCACTAATTAGCTCTGTGACTCTGGTAAGTCACATCACTTCTCTGGGCCTCAGGTTCCCCATCTGTGAAAATAAGTTAGCAAACAAATAATGCTTATTAAATGTTTAAATAAGTGAATTAAAAGAGGTAAACTGGGTGCCTCTTAAGGTGCAGTGCAATAAGAACTCTAACATCAGAGAATCCTTAGGCAGAGGGGTGAGGCAAGGCCTGGGGGGACATGCAGGCTGTAGGGGTAGGTATATGCAGGGGCCCTGGACACAAAGGCCTCCCCTGACTACTGTCATTCCTGCCACCCAGGCAGTTGTGTTCTGGGCCTTCTATTCTGCTGCTGTCAGGCAGAATGAAGATCTAGAGGAAAAGGGCTGAGGCCCCAGGGCCAGTGGGAGGAGTCAGGTCCAAGACCAGCTAGACCAGCAGAATGAGAGCGCAGAGTGATGCAGGGAACTCAGAAAAGGCACTGGCCCCTGCAAGCCCATGCCCTGCAACCTGGGAGTAGCTGGGAGAGGGGACCGCCCTTTCTGTGCTCCCCTCCCTGAGTAGGATTCCCAACAGGAACTGGCTTGGCACTGACAGCTTAGGCAGCAGATGGGACCCAGGTGTCCCTTCCTGGGGTGGGTGGCATGGCCCACAGAGGCCAGATGGTGTTTGTGGTGAAAACAGAGACCTGGATCATCCGAAATAGGTTGTCAACCCCCAACAACCTCCCTGCCACACCCTTAGCCTCTTATAGCTTCATCACAGGGAAGACACAGCCAGCCTGGATTTTATAAAACAAATTTATTCACATTTTAGAAAAACTAATTCTAAGACAGGGCTGGGTATGAGATCAACAGAAGGCCAGAGGGAGGAACTGGAAAGGAAGGAGTGGGGAATGGAGGCCATGCCCTCCACTCTGGGTAGGGGTAGGTCAAATAAATTAAAAGAACGTTGGACAGAGGGAGAAGGTATCCAGGCAACCAGAGGTGGGCTTGGTGCTGGGCTGGAAGACAGTCAACACCTGCGAGAACTGGAGAGAGCATGCAGTGTGGAGTGGGCTAAGGAGAGGCCTGAGTGGGGCTCCCTCCTGGCCCTTAGTCCTGCCCCCCACAGAACTGTGAACTGGCTCCTCCTCCAGGTGGGGCTGGGGAGCAAGCAGCTCATCTCAGTGCTTGGGAAGGCAATGCTAGGGGTTCTTTTTCCTCACCTGGTGGGGAAGGAATCACCGTTTTCGGAGCCTCTTCATGAAGCAGCAGGTGATGGTGCCAAGGACGGTGGCACCAGTGACTAGGGCAACCCCTGCACCAACCAGCAGGGGCACAAACAGGGTGTCCAGGGCTAGGTGAGAGAGGATGGCTATGTTCAGCCTTGGGTGCCGCTACCGTCCACCCACTGTCCCACTGGAGTCCTAGCACCTTCTCTATCAAGTTGTCTGCACCCACCTCCTCCCCATTCAGAGAGCCATCTCTGGCCTGCTCCCTTCCCTCTGCACACATGCTAACCTCTACCACCAAGAAGCCTGTGGCAGATGGGCACAGGGGGGCAGAAAGCTGGATTTTCAGAACGCTTCATGTGAGGTGATGTAGAGAGAAAGAGGGGACAGTAACAGGAGGATCAGATGGTAAAGGAAGAACGAGCGAGGGGCTGGAGGAAGGCAGTGAGTAAGGAGGGGAAGGCAGGGGTCACTCACCATGTGTGTAGGGGTAGACTGTTACAGGCCCCGAGCGGGCACTGCCCGCCTGGTACCAGCTGTAGTCGGCATGCTGCACCCAGGCACTGGGGGCACAGTGGTACACGCCTTCGTCCTTGGGCCCCAAGTCGTGTAGTCTCAGCCGATGGCTTCGGGGCCCCACCAGCTCCACACTGACAGGGTTTCCTCCAGGCCGGACCCCCAGCTCTGCCACACCATCCTGGCCCACGCCACCCACTAGCTGGGCAGAGGCTGAGCTCAGCTCGCCATCCTCAGGTCGCTCCACCCACCAGGTGGCGGCCAGCCGCAGGCCTGGGGGTCCGCCCCGCACAGAGATGTTGCAGAGCAGGGAGGCAGTCTCCCCACGGTACACTGTGCCTCCTGCCAGCCACGCCACAGCCTCCAGTACCACACCTGTACAAAAAAGGCCATGGGGTCAGAGGGTGAAGGGTCAGAGGAAATGGGGTCAGGACCACTGTCCAAGTAACACCCCAGGAAACTCAAGGTATGCCCACAATCTTAAAAGAAGAGGAGTATGAGACTGAGGCATGGAGGCAGCTGATGGAAAAGGAGAGAGGAATAGTAGGAAAAGAGTTCTACAAGCCCAACCAGCCCCTCTCACCTTCCTCCCGCACATGCACGGGGAGGGGCCGGGATCGGGCACTGGCTGCTTCACGAAGCCGGGCCCCAGACCCTCGGACATAGGCCTTGGCAAGGCAGCGGTAGGTGCCCGCATCACTAGGTCGGGCAGCCTCTAGCCGCAGCCTGTAGGTTCTGGATGCCACCTTCTCCATGGCAATGTGCCGGCCTTCATAGCCAGGTCCCAGGCTGCCCACACCCTCTGTGTCCAACTGGGCTACCAGGCGGCCAGGCCCAGGTGCCCCTGCAGGTGCCATCTCCCAGCCTACGGAGTATGCAGCGTGACGGCCTGGTGGGGGCAATGCCCCTGACACATTGCATAGCAGTTCCAAGGGCTCCCCTGGGCCAATCCGACGTTCGCCAGGCCCCACTGCCACTGCCAGCTGGCTGGCTGAAACATAGAAAGAGGAAGGGATGTCAGAAGCAAGAGGGGGCACAAAACACTTGACTCCCCAACTGTAGTTCCCTTGAAAGCAGCAACCTCGAGGCCATTCATCTGACCCTCCCAGGTATGAGCATATCTCCAACACCCAGGGGCCTGACTCACCCCTCAACCATAGGCCACCTATCTCCACGCCCAACGCTGAGCAGAGAAAACCCATGATGGGTACAGAGGGAAGTGATGCTAACAAGACTGCTCACTCTAGGGAAGGTGGGCTCCCTGCTCAGGCAATGACCACCTACTGCCAGTGCCCACTGAGATACCATGGCTCCCAGCTCCCACACTCACACAGCGTCTGCACATCCACATGGGCCAGGACAGCCCTCTTCTCAGCGATCTGGGCCCAGCTGCCATCAGGATCCTGAATCCACTCGGTGGCAGTGCAGTGGTAGGTGCCAGCATCCTCTGCCTGGGCACCCGCCACCACCATGCGGTACCGCTCAGCCCCCTCCTTGCCCAGTCGCAGCTCCCCAGCAGCTAGCCGCTCAGCATAAGGAGCACCAGCCTCCACAGCCAGGTCCGGCCGGAGTCCCACAATTTCCTGCAGAGTTGCTCGCCCCACCGGCACCTCAGGCACAGCGCGTCCAAAGGACACCGCCAGGTGTGTGTGCTTCTGCGTGCTCGACCGTGCCAGGCAACCCAGTGCCAGCTCCTGCCCCTCATGCACCATCAGGCGAGGGGGCGAAGTTGGGGCCTGGCGGCCTCGGGGTCCTGGGGAGACAGCTGACACCTGCAGCACATCTGGAAGAACTGGAGAGAATAGCTGGACTGAAGGAAGGCTGAGAGCTGGCAGCCCTTCTTGTTTTTTCCTACATATGACCTATTTCCCT